GGGTGAATGTATATGTTCTCTAGGACAGAGTAAAGAAAAACCTAAGATAATCCTAAAGAGCCAGGCAATCCTACCAAGGTTTCACATAAACGGATCTTCAGGGTAAAGACGGATCTACCCTGAAGATCCGTTTAAATGAAACCTAAGTAGGTTTGCCTAGCTAACAAGGATTATCTTAGGATTATATATTATATATATATATATATATATATATATATATATATATATAATATTCATAGATAGATAGATAGATAGAAAGATGGATAGATTCGACTGTACGTAACATTTAATCTAAAAAGAGGGTTCAATACATAGATTTTTTCTGGCGAATTTGAATTTAGTGTAGGTCGCATTTGATTGGTCTATTTTTTAATGTATTCTGCTTTTTTAAATCAAATTAATCTTTCACTCGCCAATTGTTTAGCATCGCCAGAAGAAACCCATTTATGGTGTTGAATCATAACTGTAATTGTTTAGCGATCTTTTATAACATGTTTTGATATCCTAAAGTATATATATATATATATATATATATATATATATATATATATATATATATATATATATATCCAGTTCTATTCCACGAACGCAGGTGTTCCTGAAGACTCCATCCTGGGCCCTACGCTATTCCTTATCTTCATAAATGACCTTCCTGACGCCATAGATTTCCAAGTTGGCATCTACGCGGATGACACCACAATTTACTCCTGCCTCAGAAACAAAGCAAAACTAACCTGGCCATTCGTCTCGAAAAGGACCTCCAATCGGTTGCGAACTGGGGCAGGAATTGGCTGGTCAACTTTAATGCCTCAAAAACAAAACTGCTCTTTATTAATCACCACAGAGATCCTTCTCTGCCCTCCATTAGAATTTCTGACGCTCAACTTCTCGAGAGCAACTCTCTGCGGCTTCTCGGTCTCACGTTGACGGCTGACCTGAGATGGAACAAATACATTGAGTCAATTGCTTCGTCCACCGCAAGGAAAGTTGGCTCCCTGTGCCGCGCCAGGAAATTTTTCTCCCCGCAATCGATCCTTCAGATCTACAAACCAACAATTCGCCCTTGCATGGAGTATTGCTGCCATATATGGTCTGGAGCCCCTTTTGTTTGCCTCGGGGTTCTTGATAAGATCCAGTGGCGGATATGCAATATAATTGGCCCTGATCTGGCATCTCGTCTACAGTCGCTCTCTCACAGACGTGGCATCGCCTCTCTCTGTCTGTTTTACAAATACTTTCATGGCAATTGTTCCCAGACTTCATGAGTTCAAGCGCCCTACGAGGCTGGCATCCCACTCTCACCCTTTCACTGTCGAAACTATTAAATGTAGCCGTCTCTTCTACTCCAATAGCTTCATGTCTCGAACCTCTCGCCTGTGGAACTCTCCTTCCCTTTTCAAGTTTCCCTGAGAGCTATAATCCCCAGCTATTCAAATGTAA